TTCTTGCAAATTCGACTCTTTTGACAAGGAGGAACTTATATGTGAGAACCTTACGGGTATCAGTATTCACTCAAAATCATAGCTTGCCCCATTTTTTAGTTGTTGATGAATGTTCAATGTGTAGATTTCTCTTGTATGCTGGCCTATCTGCTCATAGACTCATAGTATAGTTAGAGATATGAGTGAGCTAAGGCCTGTCCACAAAATAATATCTTTATATTTAGGATGGCCCGAAAAGAGTAAAGGGGTTGGAAATGGTGTTAGCATGAGACAGGGTAGATGTCATATGATTGGTTTTATGTGAGTTTGGGAGAAGTTGGTTGCGCGAAGAAACTCAGAGCTTCTATTGCAGGCGGTACTTGCAATTTACAAGTTGTGTATTGGATTTTGAGCCACTTACATGAGGCGGCATTTGTTCCTTTCTATTGCTTTGTGGTTTGACGCAGATTGAGAAAAACTCTAATTAAACTGGATTGTGGGGTTTCGAAACAACCTGCTTTGTTTCCTTTTGGCATAGTTGTTCCTCTCCAAAGCTTTTTTCAAGTAACATGCTTTCCTGTAAAATATATGATGCCCGAGGATCGTTTGCAAATTGAGTGTTTCTGTAAAATATATGATGTCCGAGGGTCGTTTGCAAATTGCACTCACCATGGAGACCATGGGCATCACACATTACATCACCAGTAGTACTTACTTAAGAAATACAATTATCTAGCTTTCAGTGAAATCTTGCTTGTAGAAAACTGTGACTTAACATAGGGGTTGTATCAGGTGGAAACTTCACCTTTTGGTCTGATGATATCTTAGGAGAAAATTTCGGAAGATAAAACTTCGATCTACCTTGTTCGACTCTTATGCTGAACTGCAAAATTACCTGGTATTGCTTGTTTTAGGTTCTTTCTTCAAGTCTGCAGATCAGTGTGTGGGGTCCACCAGCTTGGTGTTCAGTTCTCGGGGTATCAAGAGATCGTCTGCAAAGAATAGGACACTTGTTGTCAAAGCAAGCTACAGGTATTTCAAATTATTTTACTTTTTCGACGGGTCTGTATGTTCTTGAAAGCTGATTATATCTTTATTCATGGTTGTTAATTGGCTTTCGTTTTCTTTTTCTTTTCTACAAATTATTGTGTGAATAACTTTTAGTTTTCATTAGTGATATAACAAATATTTATGACTATGAACAATGATACGAAGACTTTGAAGTACAAAACTACCCATAAATTTATGTATTTATCTTAATTTTGTATATATTTATAAGAAACAATGAGTATACATATGATATTTAATATTTGAAATAATTATCCATTTCTGCAATTGACCTAGAGCCCCGAGCTTGGAACCATGTCTAGGCCTGGTTTCAAAACATTGATAAAACGAGTTCCAATTTGCTGGGAAGCTGCAATCTATTTTTGAAATCCCATTTTGACCATTTGGGAATACTCTACAGTACAGTGACAATAACTACAGCTAATATAAGTACACACACTGCAGCAATCTTAATGAGCTTTGAATCGTGAATAAGTTCTGCATTAAAATTTTATTGGAATGGATAAATCAGTGAGTTAATAAAGATAAGATAGACCATAACTTCTTTAATATTAAATTCTGTTCTGTGAAAATTTCTATAATTTATTGTAACTTTTTGCATCTTATGGCAGTGATGGCGGAAGGCCAAACACCGCAAGCATCTTCGTCGGTGGCTTTGTTTTAGGGGGAATAGTTGTGGGCGCACTTGGTTGTGTTTATGCACCTCAGGTAATATTAGCATTTGCCTTAAAAATGCAGCGGAGATTTCTTTCTTGCAGATTCATTTTATTCGCTCACTTCCTTTAATCCTCACCTAGGTTTGTATTTCTGTATCCGTTTTGTCTGCTGCAGTTTGAAGGACAAAGCCAATTTTAGGAAAATTAGGTGATATAATTATATTTTTTCCTCCTCAACAGCTTAGCAAGGCATTAACTGGAGCTGAAAGAAAGGAGCTCATGAGAAAACTGCCAAAGTTCATCTATGATGAAGAAAAGGCTTTGGAGGTATGCAGCTCTTGTTACTTAGCAGGAGGCACTCTTCTTATTCTGGTGAAAAAGTTCATATATTTTTTAATTATAGTTTGTATATTGTTTGTTCAAAGCCAAATATTTTCCCACATGACATATCACAAGTTCATCTATTGTTTGTTCAAAGCCAAAGTTCATCCTAAATGCTAATGAAATTAAATTAGAACAGAAAACAAATGTTCTCTATCAAACTAATCATTAGGTAATGTAATACCTGCCATTTCCAGAAATATAGTGAATAAAAGTACTTATGAAATTGGAAAAGCTTTGGAAGTGACTGGAATAGCTAGGTACGTATCGTCTTTATAAAATTTCAACATTTTCGTTTTAGTTTATTCGGAAAAATATCAGTTGGAAGACGGACTTAAATTTTTATTATTTACTTGAGGAAAATATCTCGTCGATGTTCGACATCTTTGGATAAGGACTATATCTTGCATTATTGAATTGAATACACTTTTGTTGTGTAGAGCTGTTTGTTACTCTTCAACTCGTGTTAACACGTGTTATGCATATGTGCAGAAACAACGCAAGAAACTGTCTGAGAAGATTGAACAGCTCAACTTAGCTATCGATAATATGTCCAATCAGTTGAGGACAAGAGAAACTACAAACGAGCCAATTGTGATCCCGAGTGACGTTGATGCAGTCGTATAACACTATTCATCACGCACAAAATAAATTGGCTTCCCATCTTTTACGTACTGCCCAAGTTTAATTAGACGACTACACCTTCATTGGGCAACACCGATGTTTTGCCACCCCTTGACTTCTTGTTAGACGGGTTATTTCTGGAAGTTTAAAAAACGGGCCACCTCTGTTTTTAGTTTTCTTTATTTGGATGATGTAAAAGCGCGAAAATGTAATGTGAATTGTGAATTCAGTGTTTTACTTGTGAAACCTTCTATGAGCTTTAACTGTGCAACAAATGGGATTTGCATTGTTTGATCCTTCACTGGGTTTTGTATTTCTTTTGCCTCCCCACAACCATTATTCTACTGGTATCTAGCTCATGCTTGTATAATTTGGCCCTACAAACATTTCAAATGACCTTAAAGGTTTTCTTGTTTCTTACACTTTAGAAAAGTGATTGATAGTGTGGAATTAAGAGTTATCTGTCATCATTTGTTAATTGTTGCAGTATTATGGTACATTGTAAGTACTTGAAACTTGAAAGACAGGTTAGGTTCACCTCAGTTTTCTGATATCAACAGTCATGTTTCTATCAACAAGGAAAAAAAAAAGAATATATCCAAAACAAAAAATAGATGGTTGAGGTTTCTTATTTGCTAGGGAGCATAAATTTCACAACTCTGTGGTAAATACAAT